CATGGAGGAAACCATGGCACAAATAATGTCAGATCTGGCAGAACTCATTAATTAAATTACACGCTTATCTCAGAACCGAGTTGCAGGGCCAGCAAAAAATTGCATTCCAAAGATTACCTTGTCTGGAGCAAGAAGTCCAGCCATTATTTTCAGTATAGTTGACTTTCCAGTACCTGATGGTCCAATGATTCCAACAGCCTCTCCATGTCTAATCTGCACATTTTATTTAAGTCTTTATACCATCAACTTACAGAATATACAAGTCAACAAAAACTGGATCAGTACAACTTATAAAAGGCTCACTGCTCTAGAGGACACTAAAAAGATGCTTGATAATAGTCATAACCGTTTCTCCCAAATAACAAAGCTCGATGAGTTTTCAAATGACCGTAATTATTTACCGTTCCACCTTAAATTCTTCTCGATTCTTCTTGTATACACTAATTGCACTAATTGCCAATACTTACAATTACAAGAATAAAGGCAAAATGCCAATAAAACTGTTTCAAGATGCAAAACATGGCAAAAGATGGTAGGAGAATGTTAATGAGCAATGACCTCTATTTTCTATGTGACAGGGCAGTTTCATGTAGCATGCTTTCTAAATATGATTCTGAAGTTGAACTTTGAGAATAGTCAAATTAATCTTTTAAAATGCGTAATCTGCTGCATTGGTTCAGTTTCTAATACCCACAAGAGCCTGGGAGCTTGTCCAATGAAATCTCATGAAATGGATGAAAAGCATTGCATAATGAAAAAACTTATAGTAGAATAGGTCTAAGTAAGATCAAAAAAAAGTCAGCAGCCCTAGGAGGCCACCCACTATGATAGTCAATCATATTTCTTACAACAACTAGGTATTAGCATGTGTACCTACTTTCAAATGTCAAAATAAGAACACACATATCAGTCCAAGGTCTACTTTGACTTTTTAAAAAAAGGTTTACCCTCTAATTTTAAGTGGCAAATTAAATTTGTGACGAGCTTTCGCAAAACATTATGTTGTATTTTCCTGACCGCATATCTACCACAAAAAACAGGTAACAGTATCTTGCTTTGCATGTAGTAAATTCGAGAAAAAGATGCCAAATCTAATCATTGTCCTTGGTAAGAATGACTCTTGAAATTAGAAAAGCCAGTTACTTATCTTGAAATTAATTGTGCATATGAGGTCAAGGAAGCAAAAGTCATACAAATGTAATGCAGGTCTTTCTTCAATAGTGTGATATTTAACGCTAACATGTTAAATTTAGGGCATGAAACTGCTGGAATTAGAGTTTATGCCATTATGTACATATAACATCTCTGGGCTGCATTAAAAACTCCACCAAGGAGCGAGGAAACAAAAAATTCCACAGAAAAAGTAGAATAAAAAAAAAAGAACATCAAATAGGTCCACCGTCCGGGTAATTTAGAGGAACGAAGCGTAAAAGAACAACAAAATTATGTATCACTATAATATACCGACAATGATGGAGATGTAAAGATACAGCATAAACTACATTTGTATATGCTAATCTACCTCAACTACTACAAAAAGAAACCTAATTGGTTTTTTAGGGTTCACAACACACAGAGAGCACACAAATTAAATTATTTGAAGCAATTGCTCTTGTAATGGGCACTCATCTGAATATCTTTTAAATCAAATCAATGGGTCAAAGAATTTGATACAATCATTAGTGGAAGTAAAAAGCACATAATTAAAACATCCAAGGCATATAAAAAAGGTAGTTGACATCTCCCTAGGTGAACAAGAATCAAATAACAGCTGTTTGCTGGACAATCATGGAGAGAAAATTCACCTTGAAGCTAACACCTCTTAAAATGTGCTTCTCCCCAAATGACTTGTAGACATCTCTACACTCAATGAGCACATCAGTTTCATCCTGCTCCCGCACCATGCTCACACTCTCAGCCTTAGATGAATCCTGTTGACCATTAACAGATGGTTAAAGTCAACACTAGGATAGAACATGGTAAATTCGATGCTGGTCACAATCTTGACATGGCAAAAACAGTTTTACAAATTAACCAAGTTCAAGACAAAGTTATTCAATGAAAACATAGGAGAATATAAATTGCGAGAATATGTGGAGAGAACAGCAAGATAACAGTAGAACAGCCAAAATTATGTTGAATATGCCAGAACTACATGGGCCCTACAATTTAGAAAGTATACTAACAAAATATAATCTACCACAATTGCATTCGACCATGAATAATCATGATTCAATAATCCTAATTCCAACTACCTTCAGATAGCAATTTAATGCAACTAGGAGCTAGACAGGTGTCTAGCTGCATACTCAACAGACAAACAACCAAGTGAGGCAATTTCTACAGGAACAAAATCTACATAATTGATTCAACGGCAGAGAAAACTCCAGGAAAACAGGAGTCTCATAATCCAATCATCAGTGGTTTGTTACAAGATGAGGAATCCACCTAGGTGAGACAACCAGAGATATCAAGAGAAACCATATAACCTTAAACAAGTAAACTTTTATCTGTACTTCAGAATACCCAAAATCAAGTCTTGAAAAACACCTAGAGATGCATAAGTTCAGACAATGCACTAGCCTTCTCAATGGATATCTGTATCAAGACCACTGAACCGTCACATGATCAGTAGACACATCCCAATTGATCAAATCAACAGCAATTTAAGCATCCAGCTAGATACAGATGGTTAAACGGTCACCTAAATAAAAATCCCAAATTGGAAAACTTGCCAAAAAGTAGGAGTCAAGATACATCAACGATGAGGACAAAAAAGGACTATAAAACCAAAATTTCGAAATCCCAAACCTAAAAAAAGAAAAAAGAAAGAATCAAGAAATTTTTGGTCTTTTACCTTTGCATTGATTGTGGTAGCTGAAAATTCATCAGCATCAGCTGGCCTGAAGTCTCTAATAGGAGCCGTACAACCACAAATGATCCTCCTCTTTCCAGAGGAACCCAAATTCAAAGGCTTCACACCATGCATGACAAAAGATTTGGCAGACCCAAAAGAGTCCCTTTTGCAGCATAAATTCAATGAGAGCATATTCGAACCCACTAAAGGAGTAGCTGCCATTCTGCCCAGTTCCACTTCTGGGTATTCAAGAACGACGATTTCGAAGGAGACCAATGTTGGTTAGGGAGCTCAGAACCATGTATAAAGATTGAATTCTGCTGGAGTTATACAAATAATTGGCTTGTTATCTTGGTCGGAAGAAGGTGTGAATTTTGTCAGCAAGTTAATAGTCAAATGCTGGTTAATTGGGTTGCCTTTGTATCTTTTCTTGTTTTAGGCTTATGTTAAACGAGGTTCCTCATTTTTGTGTGACAAAAAGAAACAGGAATTGAATTTGCGTCCTCTCTTTCAGAGCCTCTGTGCAACGAATGGTCGGTCATATATGCCCGGCTGCCTACCCCATATGCCCAATTAGCAGTTTTTAATTTTTTTTTCTTTCTTTTGTTTTCTCCCTTTCCACTTTTTTTTTTTTGAATCTTTAGATAGGTTGAATTTCAATTTTTCAGCCAAAGTCTTAATTACATTTCTTTCACAATAAAGAAAAAAAAAGTTTTGAATTAAGCCTTCAAAGTCCACCTACCTAACATCCTTTGGTGCAAGAGATTTATATCTTCAGAGAAGGGCATTAAATTGACAATCATATATCCACAAGGGTTTGCTATTTTGTTATTTTTCACAAAAGAAAAGGTCCTAAATTTCTTTTTAATTCATTTATGCATTTTCTTGAAGAACTTAATTGAAAAGGGTAGAACTTAATTGAAAAGGGTCCTAAATTTCTTTTTAATTCATTTATGCATTTTTAATTTGGTAAATCATTATTGACCTAACAATGTTGAAAAGGGTAGAACTTAATTGAATGGAATTTTGTACTTTTAACTTTGAATGTCTACTTTGGACTTCCACTTGGATTGCAACTTTTATACTGAGTTTTTTACAGTATGTTTAGAAAATAATACTATTGCATGTTTTTTTAGATGTGATGTGTGTTTTTAAAAAAATGATAGTTAGAAAATGTGTTTACGGTTAAAAACAGTTACATGGCATCTTCTATTTTTTTTAAATTTATTTATAGAAGACTCAGGGTTTAATTTACAGTCCTGTGACTAAGAGACATCCTCTTCTCTGGCATCCTCAGTGAACACATTTTCCAAAGAAAAATTCTTACATTTTTTGTGAATACATTTTTCAATCACTTTTTTACCTTACATATATCAAATTGCTACAGTAATTTTTCTACAAAAAATCTAGAAAAATGCAATCCAAACACAACCTAAGACTTAGGGATCATGGGAGAGTTGGCATCCTCTTCTCTGGCAAGGCAAACAAAACACAAGCCAGATAAAATACAGTCCTGTGACTAAGAGGCATCACTGTTCAAATTCAGGCCAAAATCTAGTTTTTTGCTTTTTTTTTTTCCTGTAATTTTGGGTCATATGTTATTTTCAAGTTCGACGAAGAAACACTTTTTTTGTCCTAGCAAGAAAAAAAAAACTAATTTGCTTGTTAATTCAGTTACTTACTGCAGTAATTTTACTTATAACTCTTTTGAGTATAATGTTTTGTTTTGTTCATATTTTGGACAAGAAAAGTTACCAAATGTCATACCATTTTTACTTTATTCTTGTCTAAACAAAGATCAAAGAATAAAATTCGGAAATGCAGCATAAGGTGTTTCTAAAACGACCCTTATTCATCAAAGAAAAATGAATATTTCACATTTGGTTGACCAGAATTTTTTTTTCCCAACTCGTCTCCTTGTTCTGCAGAATTACTTTAGAGGCTAAAGAACAAGAACAGGGACAAAAGCAGATTAGGGAAGACCCAAAAGAAAGAGTCCTTGGGAAGACCCTAGTTCGTTGGGCCTTTGCTGTAGGATTTTGGATACCAGTGTATAAACTCATGTCCCAGGGAAAGTAAAAGGGGAACTGCTTAATTTGTGGTTCATGCTACTGCTACTGTTTCTTTCTTCAACAAAAGAAAATAAGAAATTCAAGTGAATTGATTCTTTATGTGCAATGTACCAGGCTATGAGAACATGCAAAGAGTGGATAGTATCTTATAACAGTAAATAAACACATCAGAAAGGGAAGCACACTGCAGGACCAAGAAAAGAACATAGAGGTTCCACCAATAGGCCCTTGATATCTTTGCTGTTATTTTGGTGAGAACCGACTTCTTCAATGCTCTTCCAGGAAAAAAATGTACACCATCTTTGGTAAAAGGAACATATGGGAAAAGGAGAAACAGACGGATGAAGTTTGGGAAACGAAAAGTTGTTATTCCAAAACTTCAGCTACATCTTGATTTTCATTGGGTTCATTCATTGAAATGTCAATGCCATGGATTGACAAATCTTTGCGCAACAAATCTGCATTCTTGAATTGAATACCTGTGAAACCAGCTTCAATTGCTGCCTCGACATTCCTCATCCTGGTGCAAACATCATTCATTCATCAGTCACTGCACATTGTAAGAACCACACACACACAAACTCTTTCTCAAGCACAACCATTTACAAACTGAGATACTGCTAAATGAGCGAAAAGAAAGCAGCTAGATATGCTACAGGAAAGATGTTGAACCAGCTAGTTTTCTTTGTTAACTTGCACGGAAATTGATGAATCAACATTCAGTCATCATTTAACACATTTAATTGGCAAACCACTAAGAAATCAGATGTATGAGATTAACTAAGTACAACATGTAGAACAATAGTTGCCCAAAGAAGTATGGAGAAAGAAAGTCAACTCTTAAATGCAAAATGTTACATAACATATGACAATACAGAGAGATCCTCCTTTTCAACCTTCTGTCAGTCCAAACATCACTTTGAGATTATGAATTGCAGTTTATAAAAGCATGCCCATTTCACAATTAAGTGTTATAAGAATATTAATGTCTTGTACAAAACAAACATGTATGCCAGGTCACTGTGCTTTTCAATAAAATATGCACTATGCTTTCTTTTTTCTGTGTTTTGATTTTTCCTTTCATTTGAGTTGTGGTAAATAAAGTGAAATGCTTGGCTGACACAGCTGTCACCTTCCTGCCAGCCTTTACAGGTAAAGAGGAGAGAAGAAAGAAGCGGTAAAAGTAATATTACTTTGTGTATCCAAAAGTTCCTAGCTAGCTGAATCTAGAAAACAGTGCACGTCTGTAGTGACTGATATACCAAGCTGTACATTGTGATGCAAAAAAAATACTTACTTATTGACAAAGTCCAGTGCCCTCATTAGTGTCCATTTCAAATTTTTACGTGAACCTGATACAGACCACTTTGATAAAGAACTATACCTGTCATCAATGAAAATACAACTTGCTGGATCAACCTTAAGGCAGTTGAGAACTTCTAGATAAAATTGAGCTTCAGGCTTTCTTTTTCCTGTATTCAGGAAAAAACAGCAATCAACATCGTAAAACAAAAACAATAAGTGGAGAGAGTTCTTTTTTGTTTTTGGGGGGGGGGGGGGGGAGTGGCTAACTTCTGAGTTCTTACCACTCTAAAGGCTAAAGAGCCTATTGCAGAAGTTATATAAGAATCTTAGGTGGAAATTCTAATAGAAAAATTAGAGTCTAAGAGAATGCAGAGAATTTTCCAAAGAAACTCCAAGTCTGAAGCACAATGATCCCCTTTCTGAAGAAGCAGTATCATAACACAAACTGGCTAAACTGCTACAGCCTCAGATACTTATTTAAATTCTCAAAATTTGACCTGAAGAGAATGATATGTCCTGAATGTGAGGCAAACCACATCATCAATGCACTAGAAAGAGGGAGCAAAAAGGTGAAAATTTTCAGAGCACTAAGATACCAAATATACATGAACAGAATGTCCAGGATAAGTAGGTAGACAGTTTTAGCTTGTCCTCAATCATCTTATACCTGCAGAGGAGGAAAAAATCCAGTTGTCATTTGAAAGAATTGTGCTTTTAGCAAAATTTGCAATTAAGACATACCAAATAGGATAATTCGTGAAAGCATGCATTTCGTAGCCATCTTTCTTCAAAGCACGAAGCAACTCTTCAACACCATCTATGTAGAGATATCCTCTTTTCATACAGTTTTTTAGGCCTGCAATAAAAGTTCAAATCTTGTTCATCAAAAAAAAGAAGAAAAGAACTACAGAAGGCAAATAAAAATCATCATCCAAGGGCTTAGTCTAACTCTAGAAGAAAAAATCCCTAACAATATTTTCTTTGAGGTTTAAGGTTGAGAATATCATGTAGCTTATGCTGAGGAGTAGCCAGTAATTTCCCCCTCTACTAAGCAAAAGTTACTGACAGAAATTATATTCATAGCCTTTCAACAACTCTTGTTAACAAGTCTTTGAATAAGGACTTACCCTCCTTGAAAAGATTTAGATCCCAAGTTCTCAATGAAAAACAACTACCTCATGGAATTTAGAAAAGAAAAAAATTGAAAGGAAAAATTCACATGAGCCTATAAACATGGAGTCATGCATACGCATATGCCTGCCTCCCGTTTCATCTAATCTTATCTTATTATCCTTCATCCCTTAGGCTTGCTTGTCAAGGGAGATTTGAGACCATCGATACAAGGCTAATCATGAATGCCTGCTGATCCTTTATGTGTAAATCAGTGGTGAGGTTATAAAGCTATCATAGTTTATTTCTTACTGTTCATTTAATTAAACTGTCTAGTCTGAGGGTGTCGATCTGCTGCATGTCTGAAGTTTCCAGTGACTTAGAAATCTAGTTCTTACTATAGCAGTACAATTCTAAAGGCTCAGGTTTTAGAAATTATCTGCAAACTTGGCTTTTGCTGCAATTTTTGTTTATTATGAATGGTGGAAGGAAGAGAAAACCATATTCACACATTATTAAAGGACTCCACCAGCTCTTCCAAAAGGAATCCGAAGCACAGTAAGAATGCTAAGCACATTGAGAAGAAGAGCTCAATAAACAAGTGAAATCAACAAACACTATGCTTGATTTCACATATCCCAGAAAGACTTTCTTACTTATTATTCTGGTTTTTCCTGATATAACAATAGAGGGTAGAGAGTTTCTGTATATAAACATTTTCAGGAGGGTTTATCCCTTCTTTAGAAAAGTTGAAACCCTATCTTGCCCTATCAAATCCATCAGAGTACAAAAGCATATGCCACTGCTAAAAGATTCAGCTGAGAAATGAAAGCTGTAATAGTTGCTATAGATACCCAGTTCTGAAGACCCAAGTAGTCACATGTTTAAAAAAAAAAAAATTTAATCTGTTAGCATGGACCATGTTGATAACTTTTCCTTCATTAAACATCGACATACTCATTTCGTGCTTTACTTTTGCCTCCTTGCCGTACATGCTGAGTTACTAGCTTAATCTTATCTAGACACAATACTTGCAGTGCTCCAGCATACAGAGAGAGTACATTCTACTCAAAACAAATGTGAACGCAATTTATGTGCTTTTTGGAAAATAAAAATGAGAAGAAATCTCCCCAACTATATATCATTAAAAAACAGAAGAATTAGATAAGTTGCCCAACTGTAGTTTATCAAGCACCAATGTCAGTTTCATTTCATTAGGGGAAAGGTAGTAACCTGGGACAATTGCAGAAGCTTTTGAAATGTTTAGAAATGTGTAAAGGTTACTGACATTATGTTTTCCCAAAGGGAGAGGTTGTATCATTCAACAATGGCAAATTTCTGAATGGTCGAGTTACAATTCCAAGCAAAGTTGACTGACACAAAGTTATCCAAAAGTGCCAATCCAGGTACCAATTACATTTCATCAAACCTAAATTTAGCCACGAAAGTTGTTAATCACCTTCCAAGTCGAAAGACCTCCCGTCTTTAAAAAATTTCCTGGCCAGCTCTGGCTGAGAGAAAAGAGGTTGAAATAGTTAAAGTAAGAAGCATGAGAATTAAAAAATTCACGAAACTTCAATGTAAGGTCCAAGTAAATGCACTTACTACTGCATATTTACCCTTTCAGCACGATGAAAGGATAGCATACTCAAACTACAGATGCTTCTAGTTAAAAAATGGCTGATGGTAATAGAAAGAGTAACGTGATTCACCTTTAAAGTTGTATAACAAGATAATTACTTGTTTCTCTAGGCTTATACACCCTTGAAGCCTCATAATAATAGTATTCCCTTTATCATAAAGTGTTACCTTTTCCAAAAAAAATTAAATGAACACAAAAAACCCCACAATTTTAATCTAATGGATTAACGGTTTTACAAAATACCACTAGGATGTGTTACTTAATTTGTAGATATGAGTGTTACTACCAAAAACACATCAACATCACATCAACATACTCCAAAGTAATTGTTTAAAAAAAAATCATCTTTTTGGTTATGTACCTCATCTATGAGACCCTTTTCAAATTCAATCCAGGGAGTTGGGTCCTTGCATTCCAATAATTCCTTCATAGACATTCTGAACACAAAATCTCAAAGAATTGGCAGCCAATAAAAAACAAAAAATTAGAACCAGAGTCACCCTTTACAAGTCTAACACGAACAACAACAAAAGAAGAATCATACGAGCATTGAAAACTTAACAGCCCACAGAACTATATCTCCCGATTACAAAATTGAATAACGGGATCCCAAAAGATCAAAACTTGGACCGAATAGCACAGCAAAGAAAAGAAAATACCGGAAGAATGCAGGGACATCCTGGTAAAATGGGTCAAGAACGATTGTATCCATTACATCAAACAACAAGATGGGCAGCTTTCTTCCACCGGTGTAAGCATTACTGATATTAGAGGTGGTGGTGGCCGCGGTGGTAATACTACTGTTGTTCAGAGCCATTTGAGGAGAAATTTTATGGGTTGGTTTTACAATCAGAGAAGAAGTAAACGAGGAAATGAAAGGTTTCCATGTTGATGATGATGGTAAAGCAGCCGCCATTCCATCAGCTTCTCTTCTTGCAAGCGTTCGCTGTTACTGATAATACCAGTGGTCCGTTTTTTTTTTTTTTTTTTTTGGCCCCTTACAAGTAGTCGTACTTTGCTGATAATGTGCAAAGGTGCGTTTGCTTTGCTGCCTTGATTGGCTCACAAAATATTTGTGTCCGCAGGGGAAAATTCAAAATAGTCTCACCCAAAATTGATATTGGTACCCTCCAATTTGTTATAACATCTCTTTTTTTTTTTTAAACTACCTCTATAGTATAAATAGATTAAAAAAATGTTCATGTAATTTATTTCGATTACACTTTGAGAGAAGATAGAGTTTTTGCAACTATAATAAAAGATAAGAACATTTATACATATAGGAGTGTCGACAAGCAAATGTGAATATTGAATTTTATCCTATCAGTAATAATACAGAATAATTAAATTTAGATGATAAATTATACTAATACCTCTTAAAATTTGTCAAATCAAGGGTACCATGTGTTTAGTTTCCCCAATTTTGTGATTTCGAGATAATATTAGAAAGCATAGGATTTTCTTTTTCAAATTTCATGATTTTTTGATCAAAAATAAATTTCATTAACAAATTAGTGAAAATCATTAAACGCGATTTGATTTATATTACTACCCTAATGACAAATTAAATACGCATGAGAGCAGATACAATAGATCTAATGAAAAATAACAAAAAATTTTTAAATTATCTTCTAATAAGATAAATCACTGCAACTCACTTCTGTGCATGTTACAATTGACGGATCTACTAATCCCACCCATTTACTCTTGCTCGTTTATTATAACTTTACTTTAGTCAAAATTAAGTGCAAAAAAGAAAAAAAAATTGTCAGCTGTACCAAAATGCAAATTTTTAAAATTAGGGAGCTTGACTGAAAAATTAAAACTCCTAGGTGACCCACAAACGGGGAATTGTTCAAGAGCCGAATGCTTATTATCATTTTTTTTTAATCGCAATTTCTACTGAGCATTGAAAAGAACCTTTCGGTCCAATTGAAGAAAACAACAATCCCCAGAACACTCTCAGAGTTTCTTACTCCCTTGTACAATGAGTCTCAACGATTTCGCCATGGTAATTAATTACATATGCTTTCTTGGTAATTCTGCTTTTAAAGTTTCTTTTTTTTTTTTTGGCTTTTACTTGGCTCCTTGAAAAGTGTATAAGAGATGGGCATGTTATTTTGTCCATGGGGTTGCTCGAATTCAACCAAGAACATTGATTAGAGTTTTTTTGTCCATGGGGTTACTGAAAAAGTTGTAATCTTTGCATATTATAAGCAGACTAAAATAAAGTTTGGTAGCCCTGCTGTCTTGGGAAAAATATGTAATTTTGCTGTGTGGAGTAAAAATAGGTAATTTTGCTGTCTGGAATACAAAAAGATGGATGCCCTGTTTCCTTTTTTCTTAATAACAAGTAAAGTAAAGGTATTTTTCTTTTCTTGCTGGGTGAAATAATGTATTATCGAACTTTGCAGCTTTAATTTTCATTATCAAGTTGAAGACTTTGTGAATCTTTGGAGCTTTTTGGCTAACGTAACTGAAACTCGAATATGAACACTCTTCCATGTTCAACGTTCATGGGTTCCATCTGTTGCCAAGTAAACAATTTTACAGTTACTAGTAGTTGAACTATATGGTGACCGAGCATTGGCTAGAGCTTTATGGACTAATGAAGAATATATGAACCAATGGCTAACTTAAATACATAGAAGATAGTGTTACAGCAATTAAATTTAACTGGAGAATTGTTGTGGAATTCGTTTTGTTTGCTCTGCCTTCTATCTTGATTTATTCTTGTGTTGTGTTTTTGTGAAGAAGTGCTTCTGATCAGCGGATTGCACTGGCTGGTTGTTATGCATATTTTGCAAAGTGGTTAATTGGGAAATCTTACTTGTTTGAACTCCTTGATGCTGAATTTTCAAATATCTACATGCTGTTAATCTCAACCTTTTACCTTCAGAGTCTCCTCTTTTCCTCTTCTTATTATTATTTTTTTCTCCCCTTGTTTAATGACATCTTATTTTGCTGCATTTTGATCTGTTCTATTCAACAAGGGGAGTTTGTCGCTTACTGGCTTTCCCTTAATATATACAACAGCTACATATTTCTGCAGTCAAAATTTTTTCTTTGTATAAAACTTATTGTTTCGATTAAGATGGACTTTCACTTGTATTTAACCTAATTACACTTTCTTATTGGCTTGGTGCTTCTTTATTGGCATTTTTTATTGGCTTCTTCCTGATGTCATTGTTTTGTTTATATTCATGTCACATTACTGCAAGATATCATCTTATCTGGTGTCTATCTACTACTCGAATTCTTATCAATTGTAATGAGATTTAACAAGTAAACAAACAGGTTGTACTGCTGTTTAGACATAATATCTGTATCCCAAGATCTTATGCTGGTTTATCTTTTGTCTCAAACACGCAATTCAGTGCTGCATTGTATTATGCTTGCTGTTTTGTGTTGATAATTATAGTGGCATCTTTTGTAGGTTGAAGAGTTGGCTTCTTTAATCAAAGACAATCTTCATTGCAAGCATCTTGTTCTCTCTGTGGAAGCAGCCCTGGTGGATTTCCTTCAGGATGATACAAGGTAACATTCAGCTGACACCATAATGAATAGTTGCTTGTAAGTGTCTATGAGTAATAACCTTCTTTTTGTTTCTGAAAATTGTGAAACTGGAGATTGACATTGCTGAAATCTGAATCGACTCAGAAAGAGCACTCTCTTGACACAGCCTAGTACTGGTAGAGTTGCAATGTCCAGAATTATGGCTGCATGGCACAGTCACAGTCTGCACATATAATAACTAGAAATGGGAGACATCAGATGGGTAAAGGGGCCGATATAGTTGGGATTTAGATGTTTGACTTTTATATTGGTTCATACTTAAGCTCTTGAAATCATTGCTAGATATTACAAGAAAGAAACAAGTCAAAAAGATGGCTTCTTGTGTAAATCCGTGGACTTGAGAAATGTTCTTGAGTACTCATGCTTGTTGAACCATTTTATATACCAAAAAATAAGTATTGAGGCTAATAACGAGTTCAGTAAGGGCAAATATGGCACTAACTGGCCATAATTTGATCTTGTTGAAGTCTCTGTAGTAGTAGTTTCAGAACAACTTCCTCTCTGAATCTAATAGATATGAGCTTCTTTGCTGAAATGAATGTCAACATATTCCATTCCCTGAGAGTGAGAGGAAGTTGCTTAACATCGGTGACGTTGTATAATGATGAGAATTCTTGTTAGCACGTTAGTGAATTCCAATCAATTCATGAAGGATCTGGAAATGTTATATAATGTAGACTAGGGATACATGCAGCATATATCATTTTTGACACTCATGGCTTTCGTAGAGTGTTGACCCTTTTTCCACTCCATGTGACATGACTTCCAGTTGGGTTAAGTATAGCAGATTTAAATGCTTGCAAATGATTTTAAGTTGTCAATTTATTTCGAATTCCTGAATTTTGTAAATTAGTAAATTTAGGAATGCTAATTTTTTTTTTGTAGTTTTTCTATAAACTGATTGTTATAGAGTGGTTGTGTGTTTGATTTGAATATGTTTCTTTACTCTTTCGATTTGCTGATCCTCAAAAAGATTTCTTATGTGCATGCACCTAAGAATGGAAGTGGAGTTGTATTTGAAGGATTTCAGTCGGGAATTCTCTGTTAAAATTTTCAGTTTTTTGGAGTTACATAATATTGAGTTAGATGTTGGTATTTACTGCATTTGGCTACGGGACCTTTTTCTTTTTCTTAATTCACCCTTATGTAAGTGATGCTCTTCTAAGTCTATATTTAGTGGTGAGATTTTTTATTTCAGAAGTGTCCTAGGACCTTAAGTACTTTCTAGCTGGTAGTCCATAGTAGGTTGCTAAATGGTCTGCTATCTCTTTTTAATGGGTGACTTTCAGTTCTTTTCACCCATTAGAGAGAGAGAGAGAGAGAGGTTGCTAAATGGTCTGCTATCTCTTTTTAATGGGTGACTTTCAGTTCTTTTCACCCATTATTCCTTCGTTGCAATGACCATTGATTTCCTTTCTCTTAGTTTGCTGCTTCAAATCCTGGAAACTATGGTCAAAGACATTAGAGGAGTTTATGAAAATATAATGGAGTTAATCATGTCATATGCAGTTCAGACGGGGTTTTGGAGCTAGAGCCAATGGATTCCTACAGTCGCCTTCTCTTGCATCGTCTAGCTGATATTTTCGGGTATTAATTTTTCAAACCTTTTCTGAGGTTATTTATGCCACTGTCCTCTTGTGTGATAGTGGATGCCTTAGCTATTGACTTTTTGATTTTTCTCCAGCTTATGGTATTGTTTGATTTTGAAGAGAGGTTATGGTTGTATTGTGGCAGGTTTTCTCATGAATCAGTTGGTGAAGGAGAAGCAAGACACTTAGTTTTGGAGCGATGCTCAGAGACATCAATGTATGCAATACAGTGGTGATTATCAAAAGTCCTTAAATAGCTGAAAGAAAACGTTTGCTGATTGTGGTCACTTGAAACATGAAACTTTAGCTTGATTATGGCTTATCATCTGAGTTGCATATGAAGCAATTCCTTGAAAGCATTAGCTAGCCTTCAAAATGTTTTTACCGATAATATTTCAGCTAGGTACTCTAGGTCGAGGATGATACTCAGTCTTGTTCAGAACTTGCGATGTGAATATTAACTGGGACTTCGGAAAGAAAATTTTAGTCTGCATGGGTGCAAAACTAAGTAGAGAATCTTGACACTGGAAATAGGGAAGCTGGTTTTGAGGTCATGTAATGAATTTTGCATGCATTTAGTTGGAAAAGAAAGTTTATGCTGATTTAAGGAGCACTTGTGATGGTTTGTCATAAGACCTGGACATGGATGTTTCTAAAGGCTGATCCGGCCAATAGCATCCTAAATTCTTTCCAAGTCCTTCAGAGTTTAACATTATTCTCAATGCTTTAGATTTTAAGGCTCTAATACTCTAACCAGCTAGTGCGGATTCTTGAGCACTTCTTTAACTTGTTTTCAGCCAATAATGAATCTTGAATGGTTTGGGGCTGCACAAAATGCTGGCCATTTTGCCACATATTT